TATATATATGCTAAAGTTCACTGAATTCTTTCTATTTGTTGCATCCTCTTTCCCTAATAAACTGTAAACTTGACCTCAGGGATTTCATTCACCTGTAATCCTAGCTCCTGAAACAGCCTTTGGCACAAAGGAGGGAATCAATACATTGAATAACTATTTGACATGCACCCATTTACTCAATCTTAATAACACTATAAGCCCAATTTTTAAGTAAAGAAACTAAGGCCTGGGGGAGTCCTATCACATGCTCAAGTTCATACCACTGTGATGACAGGAAGGTACGGGTGTTGCGTGAGCTCTGAATCCAGATGATCTACCCCCAAAGAGAGCAGAATATCAGGCAGAACCAAGAGAGGCCGCCGTGACAACGGAGATGAGGTGAGATTGTGAGGCTGGAGAGGGAGAGTGTGAAGAGGTGAGACCAGACAGACAGGTATGGCTTGGGCTCTGGGAACACAGGAAAGAAGAGAGGAAGAGTGAGGGGAATGGACCCAAAGGAGCTCCTTAAGGAGGCTCTAGAGACTGACAGGAAAGGAAGGAGACAAGAATATAAGATATGGAGAAGGGGGCAGGGGGCAGCGACCATGCTGAACCACTGAAAGACAGGATTTAGAGACACTGTTCACACACACAGCAAAGTCCACCCAAACATCCAGGGAGTCCCAGCTCTGCGGATCTTAGTGGAATGATTCTAAACACATAGAGGGAGATCGAAGAAACATGAACTAGAGGCCAAGGACAGAGAGGACATTTTCCAGTGACGAAAACAACCTGCTACCAACTTCCCCAATCTGAACTACAGAGTTAGAAACCAAGGGATTCTCAGGAAGGTCTGTGGGGAGGGGGCTGGAGGACACATGGCCCAAGTAGAAGAGTAATAGCCACCTAGGGAGGCTATTACCAACAGAGACCACTTGTCTGGAAGCAGAGCTGGAGGCAGCAGGGCAAAGGCTGCCCCAGGGGAGAAGCCTGGGCCTGGCTGCGCTGCTCTATCCAGTTTTACATTCCACTCCCAATCAACCCCCCATACAGTGTCCCAAACTTGTCCCAACAACTGGACTCAGTCTTCCTACACCCTGACGTCCACGGTGTCCAACTTCTGCCTGAGTAACAGGGCTGCTCAGCCTGATTCTATGGGCAGCTGGCCTTCCCACAGTCCAACACACTACTGGGCCAGCTACCAGTGGGGCATAGCTTTGGATCGTCTAATTCCAGAGCCGGAATCCCCTTTCCCTCATCCCTAGAGTTTATGTTCCATCTACCCTGTGGCCCTCCATTGGTCCCAGGTCTCGGTCCCCCCTAACTTCCTTCACTGGCAGGTCCCCTCAAGTTTCCTTTAATTCCCTCCCTCTCAAACTTCTCCCCTGTCTCAGGGCAGCCGGCTTCAACAAGAGCCGGTGAACAGGGAAACCTGTGAGATGAGGCCCAGCAGGCCTAGGGGCAAACAGACAAGTCTCTGATCCCAATCCAGCCCACCGGTGCCTAGCCAGCAACCCACCCTCCCCCGTCCGTCCCCCATCTCACCGGTGGCAGCAGCAGGCCAGGCACGATGGGGAGACCCATGTCCGGCCAGCTGTGGCCTCTCACTCCCCCATTGGGGCTGGGCACAGGGTGGCAGCTGGCAGCGCTGGCGAATGGAGTAGCAAGGTCTGAGCAGGTGGCCCCAGCGAGGGCAGCCTGGGCCTCAGGCTAGAGAGTTGAAAGTTGGGATTAGAGATCCAGGTTCAGTCCCAGGGACCTTGAACCCTGGAGGCCCGATCAGGAGCCGGTCTGGAAAATGCAGAGAAAACTCAAGCTGGGAGGAGTGGAGAGGAGAAGGAGGAGGAGGTGGGAGGGGAAGGGAGAGTGGCGGGGTGGTGTTGCAAGAGCACAACCGGAAGAGCCTGGGGAGAGGCGAGAGAGGAGGGTGCCCAGACTCTTTAACGCTTTGTAGTCCAGGTCCCCTGACAGCTCTGTGCCCCGAAACCACTAATCCAAAGACTCCCAACCAACACCAAGTGGGAAGACCTAGAGTTTGGAAATCAAAGCCACTGAGTTCCAATTCAGAATTCTCTACTTTGCATGGGTGATCTTAGACCCAAGACCTAAGCCCTCTGACCCTGTTGTCCAGTTCTCAGGATGAAGATGCCTGTCTGTCTCACCAGGTGGCTGTCGGGATTTATTGAGGGAGGACAGTGTCTAATGCCTGATGAGAACTCCCGGGCCCTTATTGGCCCTCTCTTTTCTCCAGAGTTCCCTCTAACCTCTTTCTTGGGCATTTACCCACCCAGTGCTGGGAGGAAGACCTAATCCTAGTATTCTGCCCTGCCTGGGTCAGTCCCTTCCCCATGGCTCTCATCCTGTGTCTTCCAGACAGTTCTCAGGCTGTTGACCATGGCTCTGACAGCAGCTAGGGGACACGAGGCAGCCCCATTTCTGAACTTTGGTTGGCTCCTCGCTTATCAATAGGAGTGAAAATACCTGCCCCCACATAGACAAAGCTGTGCCTGGAAGACCCATGAGACGATGTCTGTGAAGATGATTCTGGAATGTGAAGGGTTCCCAGGGACCTTTTCCCATATACTCTGAGGCTAGCTTTACACTTCTGAGCCTCCTTCCTCCACGTCTCAAGTGTTGAGATTACAGGTGTGCACTACCACATCCAGTTACAAGTATTCTGATGCATCCATTAGCACAGACCCTGAGATAATGCACCATATCTTCTGACTTTATAGGTATAGAAAACTGAAACCTCAAGACACTGCACGCTGAGAGGTGGAACCTGGAGAACCTGGATTCCTGGCTCCAGTTCCAAGGGCCCCACCATTCTGTCTCTTTGAGTAAGACTCCACTTCCCAACTGTTATCCCCAACCATGCAGGCTTTCTCCTAAGTGGACCCTCCAACACAGAAATACTGTTCACTCAGATGTCCTTGGGATACAGTGACCAGAATTCTTTATGTATGCCAATTCAACCTGGGTCCTTCAGCTGCTGAGGCAGAGAGAACCCAGGGCTTGAGGACTTAGTACCCAAGCTCCTGGCCTTCCTTCCTAAGATCCACTGTTGACCCACCCACCAGTCCATAGACTGCCCACCCTGACTTTTCCTGCTCTGTGAGCCCAAAGGCAGAACACTGAAGACCAGATGGACCTGAGGTGCCCCCACTGAGGGAAGCCAACTTCCCTCCCTCAGAACAGTCAATTTCCAAGGTGAACAAGCCAGGAAAAATAAATGGGGGAGTGCTCAGGGTGTAGCTTGATGATAGAACGTTTGCCCAGCATATTCAAAGCCCTCAATTCCACTCCCAGGATCAAAACTAAAACAAAATAAAATAGAAACATGCTGGCACATCTCCTACAGCTGGTTTGATGATTAGATACATATTAGATACACAGATTGCTACCTCTTCTACAAATGGTAGCAATATCGATAATTTCTGTTAATAATGAATAACAACTTTAAGGTACCATGTTTAATATTACAAGGAATCTTTTTTTATTGTCTGTGTTGTAAACTGCCAAAGTCATTACTCAGAGACTGGCACCAAAGGGGGAATCTCTTTCATGGTTTAGGATAAATGCTGATTTACTCAAGAAGTCTAAAGCTTTGAGACACATGATACTAAATTGCTCCATGAAATTCCATTTTTAAAAAAGGGAAGAGGGCTGGAGAGATGGCTCAGCGGTCAAGAGCACTGGCTGCTCTTGCAGAGGACCCAGGTTCAATTCCCAGCACCCACATGGCAGCTAACAACTGTCCGTAACTCCAGCTCCAGGGGATCCAACGCCCTCTTCTGGCCTCCGAGGGCATTGCACGACATAGGTGTGCTTACATACCTGCAGGCAATACACTCATACACATAAAATAAAATTAAAATAATAAAAATTTTGAAAATTAAAAAGAAAAGTGGGTATGAATGGATGGACCTGAGGATATACAAAAACCAGCTAGTTTGGTGGAGGAGGTAAGAATAAAAGTACAGTCCCTCAGGGATACAAAAAGTGATGGTGAAGATGGGTGTGGTGTCGCCCACCTTTAGTCCTAGCACTCGGGAGGCAGAGGCAGGTGGACCTCTGTGAGTTCAAGGCCAGGCTGGTCTACACAAGCAAGTTCAGGCCAGCTGAGGCTACAAGGAGACCTTGTTTGTCTCAAAAAATAAAATAAAATAAAATAATTAAAATAAAATAAAAAGTGATGGTGAGGAGGGTCAGGAGAGATGGAGAAGCCAAGGATGGCATAATATAGAACCACAAAGTTGGCAGTTAGGGTCCACAGATCAAAGGATGAAGGAAGGAGCCTCAGACAGCAGTCACTCCTCTCCCGTCATGTCACATGCCTCACACCTGCACACCATCACACACACTGGATCCAAAGGGCATTGCACTCCCAGTAATGTGGGCTGTTATCCAGCCCTGCCCTTTACTACCCCACCTTCCAGGGAGGTAGGGTGAGTCAGAGAAGGGGGACTGGGTTCCAGACTGGCTCTGTGAGAATTACAAATGGGCAAGTCACTTCACCCACAAACTCTGATAAGGAAAATGAAACAAATGAGCTCTCTCTCTCTCTCTCTCTCTCTCTCTCTGATCCCATCCTAGGAGTCTCCAGCAGACAAGAGGTGAGATAAGGACAGGCCCCAGTGGGTAGTGCAGGTGAGCAAGGAGAACCTGACTTCAGTCTCCATGATATATCTAGCTTGGTTCCTCTGTCCAGCGGGTCTTCCTTCCCCAGACACTGGAGACAGGAGATGGGCGGGGCAAGCTGAGATGGAGAAGACTAGGGCAGCCAGCCACACCTGAGGCTCTGCCCAGGAGACTTGAAATGGCACCATTTCCCATCATCTGCTGGAGTCTAGGAAAGGGAAGTCAAGTCTTCACGTGCCCGGTCCAGGTCATGACCCCCAGTCCTGTCACCTGCTCCTTCCCTCTTTCCACAAGATCCCTTCTCCTCTGGCTCCTCAGGACAGAGGTTGTGGGATTTTGTTTTTTGATGTGTTTTTGATTTGTTAGTTGCTTTGCTTTTTTGTTTTTTTGTTTTGTTTTGTTTTTGTGACAGGGTATTCCTGTAGCCCCAGCTTGCCTGGAACTCCCTATATGGACTAGGCTGGCTTTGAACTTGCAGAACTCTGCCTCTTGAGTGCTAAGATTTAAAGGCATGTGCCACCACTCTTGGCTCAGGAGAGAGATCATAATGAATAGGAATAAGCCCAAGACTTATTCCCAAAAGACAAGGAGAAAGGGTCATTTCTGATTTCCAGGTCTGATACTGGAAAGGGCAGAAAACTGCAAATGAAGAAAGCAGGGCTCCACTCTGGGATCCCAAAGGCAGAACACTGCCAGGTTTTCTCCTTTATTAAAGTTGAGAGGGTTCCCCCTGCCCCCTCACTGAATAAGTTTACTCAAGGCCTCCTCCACCACCAGGACAGTGATGGGGAGGATGGCAGAGGTTGTATCACAGCTGGGTGTGTCTGGTACTCAGCAAATTGAAGCAGAATATTCCTGATGACAGTGACCGGAGTTCAGCATGAATGCCTGTCCCCTCCCTCCACTCTAGGGCCTTCCAAAAATGTAGGCAAGACTCAGGATTTACATCCTTTCCCTACCCATTTTGTGCAGCCCCATCCAGCTCTATAGACATAGCTTTATGTAACAAGCTTTTATTGAATACCTGCCTCCCTGCTCAAAGTAGCACACTGGGCTAGACTTGGAGTATGCTTATAAGCAAAACTCAGTCTCTGACCAAAGGAGCTCTCTCTAGTCAGGGACGCAGACACAAAAGAACACAAAGAGATAACACAACAATGACACAACAGTAGATGTTACAGTGTGCTGTGGGAACCAGGAGAGAGGGATCAATTCTGGGGAAGACAGGATGGAACAGAAGTGTTAACAGAAATAATGGTGCCTTTGAGCAGAGTTCGAGAGGATGCACAGAAGTTCTCTGGGAGATGGTAAGGGAAGCTCCTGGGCTGAGAAACAGCTAAGCAGACATAAGAGGTACAAAGGACACAGGGCAGAGGCACTGGGATTTGGAGTATCAGTCCAGAAATGTCTTAGGAATGATGGGGAATGGCCAAACCTTTACTACACTGGTCTGCTCCGGCCCCCACCCTGGGGAGTCAGGGAGGGGGAATTGCCAAGAATTAACAAAAGGGGGCTTTTGGGTGGGGTTCCCCCCCAAGTTCAAGAAGAGGAGCAGACATCTGTGTCATTGAAGGCGATGTGGCCAGGCCAGTCTCTGGTCATGGGGTAGGAAACCTGTGTCTGCCTTTCTATGCCTTGTTTGTGTTGGTTCATCAGTCGTTTCCCAGGAAAGTTCCTTGTCAAAGCTCCAAGTTTAGCTTGGCTGATCCAAGGGAAAAGGAGACTTGTCTGTGCTTGTGTAGAAAACAGTGTTCAAAAGTAAGACTGCAGCGGCTCTGCGAAGCTCATTAAGCCACTGTTCCCTGGGCAACTTCCCAGGCCCCTTACCCAGTTCCCTCCCACACAGGAAAGATGGCTGGGCATTTCTGGGAGGTGCCCAAGATGAGACATCCTTCAGTCTACCAGGGCAGCAATGGCCTGGTTGAAAGGAGAACATTTCTTCTCTCTCAGTGTTCCCCCAGAGCACAGGAAGAAGAGCTGGGCCCTACAGAGTCCAGTGGAGGGGGACAGGAGCCTAGGGTGGCATAGGCAGGTGGAGGGGCTGTCAGGACCAGGGGAGGAGTTGTGCCTGGTTGAGGTAAGGAAGAGGTTGGGGACGTGGGGTGGGGACAGAAGCGGGAGGGAAAGGAGGATGCTGGGGTGGAGGCCACCTCCCTTGCACCCCTGGCGCCTCGTCCTGGAGACCAGTATCGGCTTCGGAACCTGCGCAGCAGCATAAGCAATGTGATGACCGAGAGGTCAAAGATGAGTTCCGCCATCTCCACCACAGACAGCACAGAAGAACCAAACCACAGGCTCCACTGGCTGCCCAGGTTGGACAGGAGGCTGACCATCTGGGAGGAAAGAGAAACACCCTGAGACAGGTAAAAGGGACCCTCTCCTTCTTAAAGCCAGCTCCCTTCATGCTTGGGGGACCATCTGGGACTCTCGGTACCCTTCACTGCAACTCCTGATCAGCAGCCCCTACACAAACATGGTCATGAGTCCAGCAGAAGCCTGGGCACATCTCAAGAACTGTCTTTCCATCATCTGTCACAAACATACCTGCCTCACACCACCCCAACCTCACACTCCAGCACCCTACTTCCAATCCTCTCACCTCACTCTGGATCCCACTTCCTTCTCCTGGTCTACCTCTGAGGTGCAAAACCTTCTGGCCCTACAGAGGCACCTAGCCTCCTCCCTGAAAGCCTGCCCTCCCAAGCCCCCAAGAGATCACAGGCTCCCTGAGGCGGGCCCTACCGTGACAGAGGGAGACTCGGAATTCGTTTTATAGTTCAGTTCCTTGAAGAAGATGTTGAGTTTGGCAATTCCATTTCTTTGGGGAGGGGGAGAGAGTGGGAAGAAATGGTAGAGGGTTAACTCCTTTGGTCCTCCTCCTAACACCCCAATCAGTTCTCTTCCCAGGGCTCCCAAAGAGCCCTGTCCTGGGGCTCAGGTTCAAGCCTGACCTTTTGTTGTTGATCGTGTAATTGTTCTGCAAGAACAGCATCTGGAAGATCCAGTCCTGGGAAAGAACGGGGAGGCACAAGGAGGTCATCTCTGTATTCCTCAGTTTTACAAGGATGGAATCAGTCAAATCAGCAACACATATAATATCCACAAGGCCGTAGGGCATTTATGCATGCTGGCACCTGTGTGCCCATATACATCTGTGTGTACCTGTGTGTGCACACACACATACACATGCACACCCATTCCCCCCTTCTCTACTTTACCTGGGACTTTACAGAAGGCCATCTTGAATAACCAGCAGAGAGCTTGTAGTTGGTCACACTGGGAACAGATAAAGGTGATACATGATGGAATGGGGGAGGTCCCCCATCCACTTTCATCCTACTCAGACAAGGGCCCCCTCACCTGCATGGCTTCCGACACTTGGAGAAACAGCCCAGGCTGTCCAAGGAGAAGGCACCCTGCAGCTTATAGTAGCAGTAGCCTGTGGGTACAGATAAGTTCTATTTACTGAGGGTACCCCACCTTCTCCTCATGCAGGAGCCTCCCACACAGACTGGACACCCACTTTACAAAAGCAGTTCAATAACACTTCAGAAGTGTGATAACAAAAAAAAAAAGTTTAAGAAATTAAGGTAAGTTCCAAAATAAAAGCCGGGCTGGTAGTGCACACCTTTAGTCCCAGCACTCAGGAGGCAGAGGCAGGCGGATCTCTGTGAGTTCGAGGCCAACCTGGTCTACACAGTGAGGTCCAGGCCAGTAGGAGTACAGGGAAAAGAAAGAAAGACGAAAGAAAGAAAGAAAGAAAGAAAGAAAGAAAGAAAGAAAGAAAGAAAGAAAGAAAGAAAGAAAGAAAGAAAGGAAAGAAGGAAAGAAAGAAAGAAATTAAGCTAAGTCAGGGTGGAGGGGGGCACACCCATGTAAGGATATGTTCAAAAGGCACAAAAATAAAGTCAGGGGCCAGGCATGGTGGCTTATGACTTTAATTCCAGCACTCAGGAGGCAGAGGCAGGAGATCTCTGTGAGTTCTAGACCAACCTGGTCTATATAGCAAGTTCCAAGTCAGCCAGGGCTACAAAGTAAGACCTTGTCTCAACAAATAAATAAATAAATAGAAAAAAATGGGAACAATGATTGCATAATAATGGGGTTGAACCACAATGAGGAGCTGGTAAGATGGCTCAGCAGTTAAGAGCACTGGCTGCTCTTGCGGAGGACACAGATTTGGTTCCCAGCACTCACATGATGGCTAACAACCATCAGCAACTCCAGTTCCAGGGGATCCAATGCCCACTTCTGAGCTCTGTGGGCATTTCGCTGCACAACGCAGATGCACTTACATACATGTAGGCAATATACTCATACATGTGAAATAATAATAAATAAAATATTTTTAAAAGACATGCCTTTACAGTCACTAGGAAGGCTACTGTTGAAAACTAAAAAGACACTAACAAGTACTATAAGGATGTAGAGAGACTGGGACCTTATTTGCTGCTACTGGGAATATGAGGTGATAGAGCTGCCTTGGAAAACAGTATGATAGCTCCTCAAAAAGGTTGAACAGTTACCATATGAGCCCAGCAGTCATATTCCTAGATAGATACAGAGAGACCTGAAAGCATGCCCACAGAAAAACAGGCCCACGAATGCTCATGGCAGCATTAGTCACAAAGCCTCAAATTAGAAACAACCCAAGTGAATAAACAAAACAGTACAGAGCCAGGTATGGTGGTGCACACTTAGAATTCCAGCACTTGTGAGACAGGAGGATTGCCACAAGTTGGAAGCCAGCCTGGGCTAGAGTGTGAGATCCTGCCTTAAAAACAAACAAGAGTATTATAGCCATATAATGGAATATGATTCAGTCACAACAAGGAATAAAGTGTTGGCACAAGCTACAGTGTGAATGAACTCTGACAATACTATGCTGAGTAACAGAAGTCAATGGCAAAGGCTATATGTTACACAACTCCATCTATATGACATGTTCAGTACAGGGGCTATTGGCTGCCCAGGGCTGGCAGTCGGGGCTGGGGAGCTTGGGGACTGCTAATGGGTGGAAGGTTTCTTTTAAAAGTGATTTTATTTAGGTTTTTTTTTTATGTGTATGAGTGTTTTGCCTACATGTGTGTAAGTACATCCTTGTATCCAATGCTTGCAAAGGCCAGAAGAAGGCTTTGGATCTCCTGGAACTAGAGTTAGAGACGGTTGTTAGCCACCATGTGGATGTTGGGATCGGAACCTTGGTCCTCTGTAAGAGCAGCCAATGCTCTTAACTGCTGAGCCATCTCTCCAGTCCTTGAGAGTAATTTAAACCACACAGTTTTAGTGAGTGAATGCTGTCAGATATGAGTCATCTCAATAAAACAAAGAAAGGAAAAGAGGAATAGGACTGTGGAGTCCCCTCCAATGGCACTGGGCAAGCTCTAAGGAAGGTTATTTTTCTACCTTTATTTGTTATTATTTGAGAGAGAGAGAGAGACAGAGACAGAGAGAGACAGAGACAGAGACAGAGAGAGGAGTAGGGCATGCCACAGCAGACATATGTAGGTCAGAGGACAATTTTGTGAAGTCAGTTCTCTCCTTCCACCTTTACATGGGTTCAGGTCATCAGGCCTGTTAAGCGCCTTTACCACTGAGCCATCTGCCTGCCCTAAGTAAGATTATTTTGTTATCATCGCTATCTCAGCCACTCAGTCCAAAGTTCTCCATTTCTGACCCAAACCACCATCCACCAGGGCTGGAAACAAATGGGAAACAGCCGGGCTGTCTTCTCTGGGGAGGAAGACTTATGAAAAGGCATCAGGCTTGTCCTCTCAAGGGAGGATGAGGATCTTCACTTCCCAGCAGCTAGCATCATTATTCTCTCACAGATTATCAAAACCACAAGAACTTGAACGCAGGGAGGAAAAGAGGGCAGCCATCCCGAAGCCAGCACCCACTGCCCTGGCCATGCTAGGACTCATGTCCTCCCTCCCCTCCAGACCCCCATCTGCCCATCTGAGAAAGGGGGTGATATCAAGTGGCCTCTGAGTTCCCCCCAGTTCTGATGTTCCCCGATCCTCTAGAACTGGAGACAGGAGGTAGGAGGCCTCCCCTGGAAAGAGTGGCAGCAAGAGAAGAGTGGGTAGAAGTAGCCCAGGCAAGAGAGGAGGCAGAAAGACACCACAGGCAGAGGGACGGGGCAGGCGGGACAACGCCACTGAGGCCCCCTGTGTCCGCAGTATCTGGTGCCTTGTCCCCTCCAACAATGGCCCTAGCTCACCTTCTTCCCTTCTCATACTACTGGAGAGCTGGGTCTGTGCAGACCCGGCAGGTGGGGTCTGAAGGAATAGTATCTATGCGGATCAGGGTATGCACATCAGGAATGCCAATGAATGATGAGTAATGCCAGAGGTGCTTGGAACATGCATATTTTCCTGTTGGAATTGTCTTTCTCCCAGCATTCTAGGAAAAGGGTGTGTCCACGCTTATGCCAGGATAAGCAGGAGACTCCAGGGTTCTCCAACATGTTTGATTGTGCCCTCCTCTGGGTAAAAACACTTCTAAACTAAGGAAGCCCTATGTGTGCATTTGATTTACAAATTACATCCCTGGGAGTTCAGTGGGTAAAGGTACTTATCCCTGAGCCTGACAACTTGAGTTCGGTCATCCACACAGTAGAAGAACCAACTCCTGCAAATGGTCCTCTGACCTCCACATTCTTACCACACACACACACACACACACACACACACACACACACACACATTTGCACATACAAGAGAGATAGACAGATAGATAAATAAATGGTTTTTAAAAACTACATCCCTGGGGCCAGAGGGATGGCTAAGCAGTTAAGATCACTGACTGTTCTTGCAGAAGATCTGGGTTCAAATCGCAGCAACCACATGGTGGCTAACAACCGTCTGTAACTCCAGCTCCAGGGGATCCAATGCCCTCTTCTGTCCTCCTCAGGCACTGTATGACACAGGTGCACTTACATACATGCAAGCATAACATTTATACACATAAAAATAAATAAATAACTACATTCCAGGGTTGGAGAGATGACTCAGCAGTTAAGAGCACTGGCTGCTCTTGCAGAGGACCGGGTTTCAGTTCCCACCACATGGCAGCTAACGACCATCAATAACTCCAGTTCCAGGGAATCTGATGCCCTCTTCTGATCTCCACGGGCACTGCACAACACGGGTGCACTTACATACATGTAGACAATATACTCATACACATAAAATAAAATAAAAATAATAAATAAAATATTTAAAAACTACATCCTAGGCTGGAGAGATAGCTCAGCAGTTAAGAACACTGGTTGTTCTTGCAGAAGACCTGGGTTCGAATCCCAGCACCCACACGGCAGCTAACAACTGTCCCTAACTCCAGTCCCATGGGATCCAGCAGCCTCCAGGCATTGCACAACATGGGTGTACTTACCTACATGCAGGCAATACACGCATACACATAAAATTTTTAAAAAATAAATTTTTTTTAAAAAAACTACATCCCTGGATTGCTGAAAAGATACAGTACATACATTCTGAAATATAAAGATGGGAAACATGAAGGGATGAGATAGAAACACAGGACTTCCAATCATCCCTTCCTGGGCCCCTGTTCCACCCAGCACCTCAGGAACCTGCCCTGCCCAGCACGCCACACCGACACACAAGCAGGGATGCGGTAGGCACTGAAACCACAGCAGGAGAGCAGATCACACTCATGGGCTTCCTTCCTTCTGCTGCAGGTTATTTTTAAACAGGCAATCCCTTCACAAATACACACAAACCAAAAGAGAGAGGGAGGAGAGAGGGAGGACCAGAGACTAAGGGTCAAAAAGCAAGGTGGAGCTGGAAACTAGGACAGGTGGGAGTGAGCCATCCCAGACAAGGGCTCTGGGGAGGGCACCTAGGCAAGTGGAGGTGGGCTGCGGGCAACCAAAGGCTTACCCCAGGAGCTGTGCTTCCTGTAGTCACAGAACTCCACGCCCTTGGGCCTTGGGTAGAAGATGTAAGCACAACCACACTTCTTGATCATGTTTTCTTGGAAGCAGGAGTGAATACATACCTGGAGAAGGGAGAAGAAAGAGACTTCAGGTCTGGCCCAACCCCACCCTCTGCAAGCTGAGCCACTCCTCTTCTCCTACGCTGTGCCACCATCCCTCTCTCCACCAACCCCACCCCCTTTCCTCTGGCATCCCCCCATGGACTGACCAACGTGCAGTCCTCAGGGCTGGCTGCCACAAAACAGGGTCTGCTCACCTGCTGGGTGTACTTGGAAGGGTAGAGATTCTTGACAGGGACATCACTGCCATTCTCTGTGCAGTCACCATAATTGCCCCCAAGGCTGTCCAGGGATTCCTATGAACCCATGAAGTCACAGGTCGGGGGTCAGAGCAGGAGGCCCAGGCTTCTGCCTGGATTTTCAGTCTTCCCACAGTCCCAGGTTGGAACTCACTCTGCCACCACTCCCATCAGCCTCCCCATCCCAAAACATGTTCAGCAGCCCTAAACTGCCTCCCTATACCACTTTTAAGGCCTTGCACGAGTCCATGGCATCTCCTGGGATCCTAAGGATGTCCTGATCTCCCTCTTGGCACTTCTGCTTGAGGTCTGCTCCCCAGAACCTTACTTCCCAGGACTCCCTTGGCTGGCCCTTCCACCCAATTCCCACTCCCAAAGACCTTCATGTGCTAGAGACCGCCCACAGGACCTCCTTTCAGTCTCCTGGCTGTCAACTCCACCTCCCATTTCCCACCTGCCTCCCTCCAGTGAGGTTCTCCTCCCAGACTCCCAGTCAGCAGCGTGCTTGCCTTCCTCATGCTGATGGAGGTCTCCACACCAGGCCGCAGGTTGAAGCCGCCATCATCCATAAAGGCGGGCTCATCCTGCCCGTGCACCATCACCCTGGCTCCAGTCACTGTGGACAGCAGGGGGATGAAGTCATTCTGCTCTGTGCGCAGTGTCAGGGACAGACCTGGGGATGCAGCAGGAGAAGAGTTGGGGAGATGGGTCTTGGAGGAGAGTCAAGCGATAGAAGCCCACCTGCCACCCTTTGCAGAGTCACTCATCTCCGAGTGCAGCGAGGCTAGGAGGACCTACAGGTGAACTTGGGTCAGGCAAGAAGGACTTGGACAGAACTCTTCCTATGCCTAGAACAAGCTATGGAGGAGAAAGGACATAGCAGACCCCTTCCAGAATGGAAGGGGCATGTCATGGTGGGACCCAGAAGGGACACAACATCTCCAGGACATATGCCCAAGGTGAGTTAACGTGTGTGGGCAGGGCAGTGGAGAGGACATTGCGGGGACAGGAGCTGCTCACCATTGTTGACTCCAGGCATGGAAGACATCCAGAGGTTGGAGCTGTTCTTGCTGTTGAAAGTGTAGCAGTTCCCATAGATGGGGTGGTGGAATTGAGAATAGTTCCTTAGCAGACCAGAGAGAAGAGCGAGAATAGGATCAGGGAGGAAAGTAGAGGAAGTCAGAGGAACATGAAATGAGGCAGAGGAAATCTGTGATGGTTTGAATGAAAATGTCCCCCATAGGCTCCAAGTATTTGGACATTTTGTCCCCAGATGATGGCACTGTTTTGGGAGGTTTTAGAAGGTGTGGCTATCCTGGAGGAAGCACATCACTGGGGGTGGGCTTACAGAGTTCT